ACGCCACTGCTGCTGGGCGGCAGGATGCGGCGGTTGGCGACGATCACGACGTCGCGCCCGCTGAACTTCTTCTCGAGCTCCCGCACCAGCCGCTGCTGCACCTTGTGGAACGGCCGCAGCAGGCGGAACGGCACCTGGCGCGCGGCGGCAGGGACGGGTTGCCGGCGGTGCGGGGCGCTGCTGAGCGTGCGCGGGCGTGGGACTGCCAAGTGACAGGTGCGGCCTGGCGCGACAGCGGGGCCGATACAAGCTGCTGTTCATCTGGAGAGGCTGGGTTTTGGCCCCTGCGCCGCCGGCCGGCGCCGGCGGCGCTGATTGCTTCCGCGGCATGTGGCGCTGCGCCAAGCAGCCCCCCCCGAGCAATGCATAGAGGCCCGCTGACGCTTTGCGCCGAGCCCGCCTCGCTCTGCTCTGCTCTGCTCTGCGCCGCCGCCGCCGTTCGCCAACGGGCGCTGCGCGGCCGCGGACGAGCCCCTGCGAGGGCCGTCTGACGCCGCCATGTGGCGGTCCTTTGAGAGCTGGCCGCCATGGCTATCCTGGAGACCACCTGAGCTGCCTTGATCACCTGCCGACTAGAATTTTACCCACACACAACCACTCGTGTTCACGTGTCAACACAAGCAAAACCCCACCCCTTGCCTCCTTCCTCCGCCCCCACTCCCCCCCCATCCCCTACCCCAAGAACCCTCCCTGCGGCGCGCCGCGCACCTGCACGATCACCGCCTTCCTGCTGCCCCCCTGCACGTCAATCTCCTTGGCCCCGGATATATAGAGGTCCCGCAGGTCGGCCTTGAGCTCGCTGTTGGTGGCCTCCAGGTCAAAGAGGGCCTGGGGCAAGGAAGGCGGGGCCGGGGCCGGGGGCGCGGCGTGAGAGCGCTTGACGATTGGGACGGCCGGGCACCCAGGCAACGAGCGGGTGCCCCTCATCCTTGTGCGACCCAGCGCGCAAGTGCCCTCGCTGCGAGGATCCGTGCCGGCGGCGCCGGTGCTGCTGCATGCAATGTCATTCGGTGCAGGTTGCTTGGGCGGGGGCCCGATGAAGGCGGCAAGCAGCGCGCACTGCGTTTGTAAGTCGCCGCCGCATCAGCACCGTCTAAGCGGCCAGTCTATCATGGTTGGTATGGACCTGTAATTTGAAGCGCTGGCAAAACATAAGCAATAGCAAGCCTCCCAAGGTGATCTGTGTGTAGCACGGGCCCGCACCTGGGCCACTTGCTCCTCAAAATCATCAGGCTCTTGACCCTTCTCCTTAACAATCTTTTTCCTGGCCGCCAGAGCCATGTTTGCAGACTTCCTACGAGATTGCACTACCGTAGCTAGCTGCGTCCTTTGCTGTCGGGTTAGCAAGTCACGCCGACTGGGACCTTTGGGCGGCGAAAGAGGACGGGTCAGCGGGTCCTGCACACCAAGTCCAAGTGGGACGGGAGATGGGAAGCGTGCAGTCGTGAAGCGAAGACTGGGTGTGAACCATGTTTGCAATGCTTATTGCCTCTAAAAACATCACACGACACTATTTGTTTCACGCATGTTGAGTGTACCGTGAGGGGGAAGCAGCGAACCGACTTGATCTGTTCCAGCCAGCGGAGCAGCGACAAGATGGCGGAGGAACCGCGTGGATACCTTACCATGACCATAATTGAATCCAGTGGGCGCAACAAGGACGACCAACTGGTGTGGGAGCAGGACACATTCGACGGGTTTGTCAAAGGTCCGCGAAATATATCAAACCGCCGCATCGGAAGATCGCATCCGAAGGGATGCGGCCGGGAGCCACCCTGCCAGCACCGCTCCCGGCCAGGCCGCGCGCTTCAGCGCCCCGCCTGCTGACCGCAGCCGCCCGGGCCAGCGGGCCCGCCGGCCGGCGCCGCCCCCGACACCAATTGCTGCCCTCGCGCCGTGCGCAGTGGAGCTGCGGGGCGGCTCACGCAACATCAAGGTGGCGACCAGCAGGCAGGGAGCCCAGCAGGGCTCTATAATTTGGAACGAGCCCCTGGTCCTGTGAGTGGCGGTTGCCAGGATTATGTTCGAAGGGGCGCGCTCGGCCGCGGCACATCAGGAAATCGCACAGCTGCAGCGCCATACAACGCGCACCAGCCGCGTGCGAAGCCTGTGCCCTCGCGCTGACGAGCGCAGGCGAAGACGCAGCCGCCCCCAGCCCCTCCGTCGACCGCCGGCCCGCCAGCCCGATCCCTCATGCCCGCTCGGCCCCAACAAGTGCCCACCTCTTCGCGCCTCGGCCTGCAGCACACGCGTGCAAAAACACACAAACACAACACATACACACACACACACACCACACACGTGC